ATGCCAGACAATTGTGTTCCTGGATAATTGCGTACCTGTGATAATTTTTTGAAGTTACCATTTTTTTTAAAGATTTATTTAATATAGAAATTTACACACCAATACTTTTAATTACTCTAAGCAAGCAGAAAGTTAGTTACTATGAATAAAAAAAGAGAGAAAAATTTCTTTTTTAAAACAAGAGAAAATTAAGCTAGCAGTTTCAGTTTACTCCAGCAGTGCTTACCACAAACGTCTAATAGATCCTGGATTTTATAGATAATATTTTTATTTGGAAGCCATGGCTAAGTTCTGAAAATCAAACAGTGGTAGAAAAATATTTGTGGACAAGGAAAATTACAGCTACCACTATCATAAGAAAAACACCGATGAAACAAAAACATACTGATGATGTGTAGTATGATCTTACCACACTGTTAATCTGTCATTACATTTTAAACAAAAATAAAATTTTAATTTTTTTTTATTTTATTGTTTTTATTTCTTTCTTAAAAATTTATGATTACTACCTATGCTTTTTGCAAAATTTATCATAATTGTCTTTAAAAGCTTCAAAAATTATCAGAGGTATACAATTATCTAGGGACGCATTTGTCTAGGGATGCAAATGCCCAGGGATGCAATTGCCTCGTATGCAATTGTCCATGGACGCATTTGTCTAGGGATGCAAATGCCTAGGGATGCAATTGCCTGGTATGCAATTGTCCATGGACGCATTTGTCTAGGGATGCAAATGCCCAGGGATGCAATTGCCTGGTATGCAATTGTCCAGGGACGCATTTGTCTAGGGATGCAAATGCCCAGGGATGCAATTGCCTGGTATGCAATTATCCAGGGACGCATTTGTCTAGGGATGCAATTGCCTGGTATGCAATTGTCCAGGGACGCATTTGTCTAGGGATGCAAATGCTCAGGATGCAAATTGCCTGGCATGCATGCCCAGGGACGCATTTGTTCTAGGGATGCAATTGCCTGGTATGCAATTGTCCAGGGACGCATTTGTCTAGGGATGCAAATGCCTGGGATAATGCCTATTGTCCAGGGACGCATTTGTCTAGGGATGCAAATGCCCAGGGATGCAATTGCCTGGTATGCAATTGTCCAGGGACGCATTTGTCTAGGGATGCAAATGCGCAGGGATGCAATTGCCTGGTATACAATTATCCAGGGACGCATTTGTCTAGGGATGCAAATGCCCAGGGACGCAATTGTCTGGTATGCAATTGTCCGGGATGCTACTGTCCAGTACACAACTGTCCTAGAACTGATTGGTTGTTAAGTCTCATAATTTAATGGTTGAAATTAATAATTGTAACCATAAGTTCTATGTTATGGTTCTTCTCCCATAGTTCTTGCTCTTGGAACCCTATTCTGGTTTCCTGCTTTCCTATTGGCTACAATCTAAATGCAATGCCAATCATAATCTTCAGTCTCCTTGAATCCTGTTCAAGTGACCTTTATTGCCTTGCTTGCGGTGAAAGGATAAAAAATATATAATATAAACATATTTTTAGGTATATAAATGTTTATATGCTAAATATATAATATACCCTCATTTTTGGGCATATGAATTTATAAATATTAAATATATAATATATAAATAAAATTTTAAGGACATAAATTTATACACCCACATTTACGGGATATATATTTATATATACTAAATTTCTCACTAGAATTTATCATATACATTTGTAAGTTGGTCATTCACCCATGAATTGCATATTGTTCCCATATTTGGTGCTTCTGATATGTATATGGCAATACTTGATAAAATCCAAAAATGAATTTGCAATATTAATACTCCTGATCTAACATCTTGTCTTCAGTCACTTTCCCACAGCTTACCTGTGTCTTTTTTTAAAATATTTTCATATCAATTATCTTGATGCACTTTTCTCATGGATATCTTGACTTCATGAATTTAAGCACAGTACTAGGTTGGCAGCTAGGTATCATATTTTCATGGTTGAAATTGCTAGTTATTAACCATAAGTTCTATGATATATTTCTTCTTCGAGAATTTAGATTTTTTTTTTTTTAAGCATTACGCCCTGAGCAAGGCGTGAGGCCACTAGGATGCAGGGGTTTGCAGAAGATTTGGAACAGATAGGAGTGATAGAAGAAAGGATGAGAAGAGGGATAGTGGATAGATCAAGGTAACTGGAGATGTCGATTGACATTATATTTGAATAGTTGGACAGGCGAGAGGTGCAAGGTATGAAGCTATTAGAGTAGAAGAGACGGATACATTTAAAAGTTTCTACAGTGTAAGGGTGAAAGCAGGATGCCAGCCTCGTAGGGCACTTGAATTCATGGAGTCTGGGAACCAGTGAAAGCAGCTCATCGGAGCAATTACCATGAAAGTATTTGTAGAAAAGACAGAGAGAGGCGACGAAGCATCTGTGAGAGAGTGACTGTAGACGAGACTACGCTAGATCAATTACATTACATATCCGTCTCTGGATCTTGTCAAGAACTCGAGGGTAAACAGAAGGTGCCCCAGACCATATATGTCAGCAATACTCCATGCAAGGGCGAATGGTTGATTTGTATATTTGAAGTATCGATTCCGGGGAAAAATTTTCCTGGCGCAGCACAGAGCCAACTTTCCTTGCGGTGGAAGAAGCAATTGACTCAATGTATTTGTTCCATCTCAGGTCAGCAGTCAACGTGAGACCGAGCAGGCGCAAAGAGTTGCTCTCAAGAAGTTGACTACCATTCTAATGGGGGGCAGGGAAGGATCTCTATGGTGATTAATAGAGAGTAGTTTAGTTTTTGAGGCGTTAAAGTTGACCAGCCAGTTCTTGCCCCAGTTAACAACCAATCGAAGGTCCATTTCAAGACGAGTGGCCAGGTTAGTTTTGTCACCGACACTAGATTTGTTTTTGAAGCAAGAGTAAATTGTAGTGTCGTCCGCGTAGATGCCAACTTGGGAATCTATGGTGTCAGAAAGGTCGTTGATGAAAATAAGGAATAGAGTGGGGCCAAGGATGGAGCCTTGGGGAACACCTGCGTTCGTGGGATAGGAACTGGAGGAGAATCCGTTGAGAACAACCTTCAATTCACGGTTTGACAGGAATGACTGGTTCTTTTATTGTCTTCTCTGTTTCTTTCATTCTTTGTAACTCCTTGCATCTTAGAGGATTTATTGAGTGAAAAAATGTTTTAGTAGCTTAGATGAACTGCTCTGGTTTTTATATAATTCTTAGTTATCCCATTGTGTGAACTGTCAGCTTCTGTCTAGAATGTAAGCAGTACAGAAGTTGATTTTCCATTATCATTAGAATAGAACACAACTGGACAATCAATGAATGGTTGATGTAATCTTCCTACTGCTTATATAAACCCTGTTTCATGATGAATTATAAGTGGCAATTTCCTTTTGAATTAGATTATTCCAATTTGATAGAACTTGTAAGATCATTAGAAACAAAGAAAAAGTACTAAACTGTTATGTTCTGTCAGTTCTCCTATATGGCAATGAATGCTGTACAATCTCCTCACAGATGAAGAAGAGCCTTAAAGCAACAGAAATGTGGTTCTATAGAAGGATAGATGCTAAGAATACCATGGACCAAACATGTGAGAAATGATGAAGTTATAGAAACAATAGCAACAAAAAGGACACATGCTTAACATCAGGAAGACACAGCTGAAATTTTTGTTGCATGAGGAAAGAGGGAAAATTTGATACTCACAGGACAGATTGAAGGTAAAAAGGCCAGAGGTAAGCAATGTACAACCTAACCAGTGAGCTTGATTGAATGGATGGTGGAAGCAGGGTTTGAGGGAGATGACAAAATGACAAGAAGTTATTAAGAGATACAAAGGACAGGAAATTGTGGAGAGCCATAACTGACAGTGACATGAAGGAAGAAGAAGAAGAAGAAGAAGAAGAAGAAGGCGTGTTCTTGTTGCAGCTGCATGGGCAAATCGTGTTGCATCTTACCATTTGCAGCATCTTACCATTTGCATTTTACCGTTTACAGTAGAAAGGGGATTGTCACAACATTTAGTTGAAATCTCAAAAAGTGAAAAAAAGTTCCTGTGAATATTTTCTCAATAATACAACTTTGGTACAACATTCAATTAAAATTTCAAAATGTTTTTAAGCAAATTACATACACCTCAGGCAAAGATTTAAGCCACTCTGCATTTCTTTAAAAAACACCTTATTTTTTATTTGCTTTTGTTAAAACAAAAAAAATAAGCACTTAACTATAAAAATTATCATACAACAGCATCATATTTTGTTTTCATCAATAAAACCACCACAAAGATGAATCCAAATTTGAACTTTTAGGTCATAAGTGGAGCATGGGCAAAGACAGAAAAATAAAAGCAAATACACTGTAGTTACAGAATTTTTATCTTTTACTTTAAAGAATACAAAAATATTGCATTTTAAGGTGTTTTTTAAAGAAATGTAAGGTAGTCCTAAACTTTTTACCTGTCATGTATTAATTATGTTTCAGAAAGCATTCATGTAAAATAGCATGAAAATAACCAGGCAGTTTCTGATCTTTGATGTTATATAAAAATATAATATCAATATATTAGAATTTTCAAGAATTATTACTAGTATGTCTTTAGATGAATACTGCAATTAGATAAATAGTTAAGATTTTCTGTGTAAAGATCTAATCTACCCAAGTCTTTCTTTTCTGTTTCAATCAATATAAAATTCATTGATAACTCAATGTAGAATCGCTTGAAATCTTGTTAGAGTTCTGTTGATTTTTTTCTCTCCTAAATTTGTAATTTTTTTGTTTGTTTCTTTTTACTTGAACAGACAAAAGAAAAACAGTAAAAAGTAAATCATGCAAAAAAATAAACTAAAAAATTAAATAAGGAAGAGAAAACAATAAAGCAGATCTGTGTCGTTGCTTGATTATTTATAAAAATTCTTTGGCAGGACATTTTCCTTAAAGGCCTTACACGGGTCTGATTTAATTTTCGAAAAAATTTACCCCAAGTTCTTCTTCTGCAGGTTATCCTCATTTACATTGATTAGAAAGGACAGAGAAAGAAAGATAGAGAGAGGTGGGAAGAATTAGGGAAAAGAAGTTAGTTAAACAGTGAGTAAAAGAGAAGGCGGGGGGGGGAATTAGGGATGAAAGAAAGTAGAACAAAGTGAAGAAAGTGAGAGAGAATGAAAGAATAAGATGAAAGGGGAAAATTAATGAACTGGATAAAAGAGAAAGAGAGAAAGATGACTGAATAAAAAACAGTAGGAAAAGGGAAAAACCAGAATGAGAGTGAGAGTAAGGAGTGATACAGAAATAGAATAAAAGAGAGTGAGTAGTGACAAAGAAGGAGAATAGGAGAGAGTGAAGAGTGACACAGAAAAAATAGAAAAGAGTGAGGTGACATAGAAATAACATAAAAGAGAATGAGGAGTAACACAGAAACAGAATCAAAGAGAATGAGGAGTGACACAGAAGCAGAATAAAAGAGAATGAGGAGTGACACAGAAGCAGAATAAAAGAGAATGAGGAGTGACACAGAAACATGACAGAAGAGAGTGGGGAGTAAAATAGGAACAAGGTAAAAGAGAGTGTGGAATGGCACAGAATCAGAATTAAAGAGATTAAGTGTTACACCGAAACAGAATAAAAGAGAGTGAGGAGAGGAGGACACAGAGAAACATGACAGAAGAGAGTAAAAATAGGAACAAAAGGTAAAGAGAGTGTGGAATGGCACAGAATCAGAATTAAAGAGATTAAGTGTTACACCGAAACAAAATAAAAGAGAGTGAGGAGTAACATAGAAATAAAATAGAAGAGAGTAAAGAATAACACAGAAACAGAATGAAAAAGAGTGAGGAATGATAAAGAAAGAAGATAGGAGATAGTGAGGAGTGACATAGAAACAGCATAAAAAAGAGTGAGGGGTGAAAGGAAAAGGGCATCTAAGAGAGTGAGAAGAAAAAAATTATTTAAACTGAGTGTGAGAAATTGAATGAAAGTGAGAAAAGGGACTTAAGAAAAGGAAGAGACTGAGTAACAAAGTTTAAAAACAAGATGGAGAAAGAGACATTCAGAAAGAAAGAAATATGGACAAAAAAGAATAAGAAAAAATGGAAGAAAGTAAAGAGGGAGAAGTGAACAATAAAAAGTAAAAAAAAAAGTGAAAACAAAATAAAAGTGTGAGAAAGTGTATTTTAAGAATATCTATTACACTATTTCTATGGTAACGGATTACTAAAAGCTTCAGGTTGTAGTTTATCAATTTATGTTATTTTATTTTGTTTAGTTTTTTTTTTTTTTTTCATTTTTTAATGAATAAATATGCTAATGTCATTTCTGGAGAAACTTGGATATTCTCTGGGAACATGTATCCAATTTAGCCTAACAAACAAGAAGGTGAAATGTTCATAAAAGACATGCAATTACCAATATTACTTGTCAAGGTTGGATATTTCTGCTAGCTTATGTACAAATATATATATATATATATATATATGAGTGTGTGTGCATGTAACATTTGTATGAAATTATTAATCTATGTAAGTGTGGTTGTCATTTTATATATGTACACATGATGATATATTCTGTATATATGTCTATATTCTCTGTATATAATTAAATTACAATTTGTGTCAACATATGATTGTGGATGAGTATAACAATTGTTCTTCTGTGTTGTCTCCATGATATAAATGAAAATAATTTCAATAAGTGAAGCTAATTGCTAACATATACATTTACTTGAACATATTTTACTTAAAAAAGTTTATTTATCTACAGGCTTGACTGTAATTCAAGATTATCTTTAATGCAATATTTCTGGTATAAAAATGTTTCAACAATAAACGAAATTGGCCTTTTCTGTCTGAATTTTTGTGGTGAGTAGTTACTACTATTACATTATTCCTATTCAGACTAATATCCCCATCTTTCTTGTTATTATCACAATATTTCAGGTTTAATCAAGTAACTAGATGGATGACTGCTAGGGAATACCAAATGTTGTAATCATGAATGTGTGGGTGGCATAATGGATAATGACTTAGAATTGTTATTTGGAGAGTCAAGTTCCAATTTCCACTGGGTTTGTTATATTCATTTACATACAAATACCCTTTGGTAAGGTATGAATCCACTTCTCCCCGACCCCAGCTATTGGTTAATTAGTAAGACTTGTATCACTAAATCAAGGTAATGACTAAACTCAACATTGCTTAAATTTGGGGATTATACAGAGACTGGCATTTCAATGTGATGTGGCTGCAAGCCAGAGGATATGTAGGAAAAATAATATTTAACCCTAGACTTAAAGTGGTTACAATTGTTGTTATCAGGGAAGCATCCTCTTGGGAGTCCGTTTCACATTGTAGGAAAATAGTATAGAATGGAACTTTTTTCTTATTAATGGAATATAAAAGGAATGGGACTGAATATTTTTTTAATCATTTCACCTCAAGTAGAGCAATAAAGCCACTAAGACGCAATGGGTTACTGAGTGTTAGAGAACATGAGAAATAAAATACTACTAAGGAGATGGAACATTAACAGAACAAGAATTAAGAAGGCAGCAGATAATGATTAGCATTGCATTTAAATTTTTGAAGCTCAAAGTCGACTGGGAAGCAAGAAGCAGGAAGAGAGTTCTACAAATGATAAATGCAATAGAAGAAACTGCTAGCATAGAACTTATGGTTACATCTAGCCATTTCAACTTGTCATTAATCTAGTACTGCACTTAAAGTTGTCCCAGTGTATATGGAAACAAGGCAAGCAATAAATGAGATAATAAGAAATAAACAAGATCTCCTGAAATATAGATGGCAGAACTAAACACTATGAATTCTTGTAGATTGAATAAAGGCTTCAGTTTGAAATGTATAGAAACTACCGTGACCACAAAGTGAAGGATCAGTTTATATATTGATTGTAATATAGAATTGATCCCCACTTTATATCCACATTATAATTTCTTGTTTGTTTATCAAATTCTGATTAGGTATGAATCCATATCATCTCCCCTCAGAAACAGTTATTATCTCCAAAAAAATTCCCACAATCTAAATTTATTTTCTGGCTTTAAATAACCTTCAAAAGGTCGATAAGCTGTGAAAAATGAATCAGTCAAACCATCAAAATCATGCTATTGGTTCTGCTTGCCATTATTACTAGCTTTCAGATTTATCAAGAAGGCCTAAACTATAAAACAAGCAGAAATCAATAAACCAGAAAACACCAGCAACAAACCTTCTTTTGAAGTTAGCATAACAGGGAAAGACAAAAGCATCATCTTCTTTTGAATATGCCCAATAAAAACAAGTCGATCGAATGTATTGAAGATAAGAAAATGGTGAAAGTATTTCACTAAAGCTGAAAATGATGATGACATAATCACATCAGTGTAAATAGATAGTGCGATGGGTAAATTGTCGCCATTTTTTTGATTTTGAAGGGGTGCATTGTTTGTTCTTCATTTTGTTGAGTGCAGAGAATGGCAGGGCTTGTTGGGCACCATCTGTGAGAAAAAGAGCACCATGATAGAATTCACTTTGCCAAAAATTCCGAAATTCTGTACTGCTTGGCATTCACACCAGAAGCTCCAATATGAACATTTCAGAGTGCTTGGGTGTCAGTCTGAATACGGTACAGAACTTCTGAATTTCTTGGTGAGGGCCTCAAACTCAACACATGCCTTGAAGTGGTAGTGCTGTCCTGGGTCAAGAGAGTGGCTGCTGGAAGACTCTATGTCTTACAACAGGACTCTGCACTATGCCACACAAATACAAGAACCCAGTCTTGGCTGTCAAACAATTTCAGAGACCACATCACCCTTACATATGGCCACCTAACTCCCCAGAATGCAACCCCCTTGATTATTAAGTATGGAACTCAGTTTAGCAGGAGACCAACAAAACTCCTTGTAACATCAAAGATGAACTGAAGGCAAGGATTATGGCAGCATTCACCAAAACAAGGAAACCTTCCAGAAGAGTTGCAGGAGATTCAGAAGTTGTCTGAAGGCTGTGGTTGAAGCCAATAGTGATTTTATTGAATAAATTTACTCTTTAGTATTTCAAGATATTTTTGTTTAATTTTGGTAAATATATCTGTTAAAATGAGATATCAGTGTTAGATTCATTTTTGCATAATTTAGAAGACAATTTATTTATCGCATGCTGTATATACAAGTAATAATGTAATTAGATGGCTGCTCATTTCTGTACACACCTCTCTGATAAGGTAGCTAGCAAATCTCTTAACATTCAACAATACTTCAAATAAAAGGTTTGTAAGGAAACCCAATGAATACTATGATATCACTTATCCATTTCTGCTGAATTGATGCATCACTACCAGATCTAAGGATTGAACTCATGACCTGTTATTCTCATCTTGGTTGATATAGATTTTATTACAGACACGTTTCAACCAAGTGTATTCTGGTCATCATCAGGTATCCCATTGATTGGCTGATATGGCATATCTGTTTATCATTGTGATATTTTCTCCCTGTGATATCAATTACTATTCATTGATCTTGAATTGGTGTGTGACTACCATATCCAAGGATTGAACTAAGGAACATGAAATGAGCTTATTATGCATAAAAAGGGGTAAAAAATAATGAGTGTTAACAACTTTCAATAATATCAATTATGAACATGGCTACAATGTGCTGACTGTGTTCCAAAATCAAAACATTGCCACTGCTATATAAAAAAAAAATCTGCATACTCAGTTAAACAAAAAAAAACATCCTTCATAATGGCTAGTAGATTAGCTGAAAGCATTTGGATTCACACAGATACAAGAATAATATAATAAAAAGTTTAAGTGCATTGCCTTATCGGTCATCTTTAATAAAACCTGTATAAAATAGAGAATGCTGCCCACATACAAAAGTATATATATATATATATATATATATATATATATATATATATATATGAATTGGGATCAAATACAAATCAAATATGCATCGTAATAAAAACAAATAGGATACATTTACAAAACTAACATGTACCACTTTTATTAAACCTTCATCAGAGAATGTGATATGGAGAAAGAAAGAAATTCTGATATTTTTATGCTTTTGTTCTTTGATTAGTTAAGCAGGCTTCACAAGCATTTGACTTGTCAAGCAGCAATCATGTTTATAAATTATGTGTGCATGCGGAATTATGATAATTATATAAATGTATGTCTAAATGTATCATAATTTATAAATTTCCTATTTGATCTTTATTCTATCATATATATATATATATATATATATATATATATATATATATATATATATAACTAAATGGATAAATATAGGTAAAGCGAGCATTCATATACATATATACAAAAATGCACCTGATGATTGCAGAAGGTATGAAACTCCGAGTTTTGCAATCATTGTAAGTTATGTATATTTTTTAATATATATATATATATATATATATATATACACACATATATATATATATATATATATATATATATATATATATATATATATATGTGTGTGTGTGTGTGTGTGTGTATATATATATATATATATA